TGATGGGTTGGTGCCCCATCCTGGGTTGTTCCCTGCTTTGTGCCCTGTGATAGGTTGGTGCCCCATCCTGGGTTGTTCCCTGCCTTGTGCCCTGTAATAGGTTGGCGCCCCATCCTGGGTTGTTCCCTGCTTTGTGCCCTGTGATAGGTTGGTGCCCCATCCTGGGTTGTTCCCTGCCTTGTGCCTATAGGCTTCAGACCCCCCACAACCCTGAATAGGATAAGGAGTTACAGAAGATGGATGGATGGATGGATAGTATTTACATCAATTTCCTCAAGAAACAGATTATTTCCCAAATAAGTATTTTCCCTGCAACAGATAATTAGTATGTTTAATGCAAGGAAAAAACAAAACTAGACTGTTAGTTGCTATATTCCCAGTTGCCATGCTTAGTAAAAAATAAATAAATAGTTTCTGCAGGAGATTTGTCTGAGTCTGAGCCTGAAACGTCCGGCTTCACACACGTCACGCTGCCCATCCAAATCATTTTAAAATGGGATTCAGGCTGTGAGTATAAAAGATTTATTCTGTTCATATTCTTGAATTAATGACCATTTTGGTCACGACTGTAAGCAAGTGAGTAGAGCTTTATTGTCATGCCAGCAATACATAATAGGTACAGTATACAGCGAGACGAAATATCACCCTGAGGGTGAGAGGGTTAATAATTTACACTACACCTACTGTATGTACATATATACACCTGAACATACTGTACATTTTTAATAGACATATACATATGTAGCTTGGGGTGGATACGGCAGAGACACAGTACAACACTACAGTATTTACGGTAAAGCCTTGTACAACAGAGAAGACAATAGACTAGGACTGAATAGAGAGACAGTGCAATGACATGGAGAATACAGTATGAAAGCAGTATGAATGTGCATATATACAGGGTAAGTAAAGTGAGCAAGTTATATTGTGCAAATTAAGGTAAGTTGTGCAAGAATGCATTAGGTGTGTAAAAGTCCAGGTATGCATGGATGTAGACATATTCACATAATAGCAGCAATAACGGGATCAAAATGGATAAATATAGAGTGCTATGTAGTGCAGCGCAGGGTGTGCAGTACAGACCGAAGTGTGGGGGGAGGAGCTTGCTGGTCAGGAGCCAGACTGCTCGTGCAGACCAGCTCCTGATGCTGCAGAATCTTCTTCTGCATGGAAGAGGGGTAAACAGTTCGTGGGTGGGATGGTACCAGTCAGTCACAATGCTGGTGGCCTTACGGACGCAGCGGGAAGTGTAAGTGTCCTGCAGGCTGCCGATGATGCGCTCAGCGGTCCTGTGGGCAGAGAGCCCAGCGCTCAGCGGTCCGCACAATCCTCTGAAGGGTCCTGCGGTCGGAGGTGTGGCAGTTTCCATACCAGACTGTAATACAGCTGGATAGAATGCTCTCCATGGTGCCCCGGTAGAAGGTGGTGAGGGTGCTGGGCTCCTTTGGTGAGGGAACTGGTGTTGCTGGTCCAGGAGAGGTCGTCTGTGATGTGAACACCGAGGAATGTGGTGCTCTTCGCTCTCTCCACTGATATTCAGTGGGGGATGGTCAGTCTTGGTCGTTCTGAAGTCGATAATCAGCTCTTCTGTTTTGTCAACGTTAAGAGACAGATTATTGTCCTTGCACTAGACTTCCAGCCATTGTTCTTCTTCTCTGTATGAGTCCCACAACAGTGGTGTGCTCCTACCTCCCATATTTATATGTGCTTTTGGCTTAAAATGAACACCAAATGTACCTTGGCTAGACTATGGATCTTAACCAACTAAAATGATGAATTGTCAAAGTCTGTCGGTCAGCTTCACACGGCCAGTGACGGAATGCGAGATGATGGTGATTGACCCCTGTCTGCAGGTGATGGCGGACGGCTCGGTGAGCTCCTTCTTCCGGAACCTGTCCTACAGCTCCTTCCAGCAGCTGGCAGATCGCTATGTGCAGGAGGAGATCCCCAGTCACCTGTCCCAGCAGACCACCGCACCGGAGCTCGTCCGCTTCGCCTTCACCCTGGACTTCACCGCTAGGATGGCGGGTCTCTCCAACCAGGCCGTCTGCCGCATCATGGGTTTCGGGAACCAGTACCTGGAGGACCGCTTCACGCAGCTGAGCCGGACCACCTCTGGGGTAGGGGGGCGGGGGTAGGGGGGCGGGTATGGGTGCCAGGGGGTGGGGTTTGAGCTTCATCACAGCTGCTTTTTGAAGGCAGACAACCAACCGTAACTTGACTTGCATATAGGTTGCAGTGAAATAGTTGATTGTAGCTTCCGGAAAGTGTAAAGAGGAACGTTTGTAATGTGTTTGTCTCACTTGTACGTCTCTTTAGACAAGAGCGTCTGCTAAATGAACTAAAGTGTAAACTATGCAGGGAAACTTCCGAGTGCCTGTTTCTGACAGTTATTTTGCAGTCAGAGGTCCTGTCACTTTGTGAGCTTGGGTACAGACTCGTTAGTTTTGCACTGTAACAGTAACTGTGCTCAGTTTAATTTTCAGGCACAGTTACAAGGCCAGCTAATGCAATACTAACTCCAACAGCAGCGATCTGTGTCCGCTGTCACTCTGTGTTCCAGGTGTCTTTGTGAATGAACAGCTATAATATCTTATCATGTAGTCCTTTTTGTTTTAAACATAAAAATGAATCCCGGCAGGGCAGGGGAAGTGTGTAGTGTAGGCTTAAAGATGTACAGTACTTCCCTTTTCTGAGTTCCTTTCCTTGCTCACTCTGAGTTTGTTGTTCGTTTGACATTTAGTGGGGAAATGCCTCAAAATTTCCCCCGAAATGAAAGTTCACAAGCTTCTGATTGTGACAGGAAACGTGAATGTATTTCCCACGCTCGCTTTAAAAGACCTGCAGTAATTCGTATCCTATGACACTTTTCTGACTGCAGGAATCTCAAGCCAAGGAAGTACAAAATTTCAACGCGCCGGACTAACGGCCGGCGCGGCTTCTGTGCAGAATGGACGCTTCTCAGAACCACTCGCCGCCGTGGCCGGAGTTGCAGCGCGAATAACGCGGCGAAGGGATCTTCGGCAGAAGATGGGGGCGTGGAAGCGGAAACTACATGGGCATCTTTTAGCACAAAGGGGAGCCACCCATACCGATGATTTTTAACATTGTCAACAAGGCCCCTCGCAATGACGTGGCCTTTTTCAAAGACGGGCTCCAGGGAGGTGCTGGAGGTCCAGGGAGGTGCTGGAGGTCCAGGGAGGTGCTGGAATGCGTACAGGCTGCTCCTCGAGTGTCTATAATAATCTGTGAATCTGTGAAACATGATATCTACCCAGCAGGCCTTGGACAGATGGAAAGGGATAGAGCAACATAGGAAGGTCATAATGGCTGCTGGGGCAGTTTGCTGTTAGCCTGGTTCAGGGCACATAATGTATGATTAGTCACTAATGTTGATTGATGTTATTCTCTTTTTTATCTTTATTCTGTAGAATGTCTGTGATGTAAGTACAGGGGCCTTGAGTCCAACCTTGGGCTCAGTGGTGCTTCAGAGGCGACACCCTTTACCCCTAAGTCACCCCACACTTCACCTTACACATTTAGTCTTTAAATTTGTATGGTGAAAATGCAAGGATGTACAGCTCTGAAAAAAATGTTGAATCCTGGTTTAATCCTGGTTCTGCCGGCAGAAGGTTACACTGCGGGGCAGCAGCTACCAGGATAGCAGGACACAAGAACAAGGTGAAGCAGGAGACACTGGAAGTAACCAAAAACCAGCCAGGGAGAGGTCAGAAGCAACATTCTAGCCCCAGGAAATGACCGTTAACTTATCCAGTGATGCCTCATAAATCGGAGGATGACCTCAAGTGACCTTCAAAAAGAAGGGGAAACATTAAGTGCAGGTGTGCACTGCTAGGACAGTTTGTATCAGGCTCCTAGAAGCAGGACCTATAAAGCAAGGAAGAAGCCCTTCAGTAATGAGAAACAGGGAAGAACCAGGCTGCAGTTTGCAAAAACAAAATGTGTGTTTTATACAGCCACATACTCATAAGTTGAGAAATGAATGAAATGGAACTTTTTGCTGTGGTCTCGTAATATTTTCCAGAGCTGTATATAATTGTTCAACTTGCTCAAATGATTTGCAGTTCCTAATTGTGTATGCTGGCATACATGGGCTGTGTCTCTGGAAGAAAAATGTTGATCTAAACAATAAACTAATTTTTATTTGGCAGTTTTATACATTTTATATTTGTAGTGATTTTTTTACTCTTGCCTCTAACTAATAGCCACACTGTTTAACGTGCAACAACCAAGCAGACTGGTTTTTAAAAACTGGTGTGAAAATAATAAAAATGGGTAAGAACTAATAACACTACCGGAATATTTGCAGTAAAGCGCAGCGAAAGAATTCTTTATTCATCTTCCAGTCACATGTACATCTGGGTCACAAGGGGACTGCAACGTATCGCACGAGGTTGGGGAGTCAGTGCATCAACACACACATGCAATGCACCATGAGTAATTTAGAAGGCAACAGTCATCCTCAGCACATGCATGTGGCCTGCAGGGGGAATTTGGAGTTTCCAGAGCAAACATGCAACATCCTGTGGGGACATTTGGTCCCCACAAAGTAAGGCATACCCCCCCCCCACACACACACACACACAGGTGGGATTTGAACCCTTCAGTCCTGGAGGTGTGCAGTCCTTACTGTTTTGGCCAAAAAAAACATAATACAACTAGAACAATTAGAATTTCAGCACATGTGAGCAGAGATGGATAGTTGAGGTACAGAAAGTAAAAATCTAGACCAAGATTTTGTTTCAACTAAGCAGTTGAGTCCTCTGTGACTGTGACTCTTTATGCTGAACTGGTTGGTGGAAACAAAATCTTGGTCTGGCTTTTTACTTCCTGGACTTGAACTGTCCACCTCTGCATGTGAGTGGCAGTAAGGTCCATCATCCCAAGCCGCAGCAAACGGCTAACGGCGCCGCGCTCTGACCCAGCCCTGGCAGCACGAGGGAGCAGCAGCTCTCAAAGCTACTATAAATGTGGTGACATCTGCACCACTTTCACCGTGATGAAGCGATTCGCGTATGTGAGAGATGCCAATCTGTGCAAAACCGCACGTTTCCGGGAGGAAACCCTCGCAGAAATACTGGGAGGATAAACACTGAGTGAGGCCCAGAACTCAAACCCACTCTCCTGTGAGCAGGAGGCAGCAGCGTTACACAGTCATGTGGAGAATGATTGTTACTCTACGTAATGCAATGCTAGATACTGTTACTACATACTTTACTGTAAGGAAAGGTTGGTATCTAATGGAAACCATATCCAAAGTGATGCACAATCAGCCAGTCCCTGGAGCAGCTGGGCCTAAGAGCCTTGTCCAAGGGTCCAGTGGTGACATCACTCAGCCAAACCTGGGATTGACCTGATGACCTTTTGATCATAGGCGCAATGTCCTAACCTTCTGAGCCACGCATCACCCCCAGTTATCAAAACTGCCCATTGTTGAAAAGTGTAGAAATTCAGACAATAACTTCTAATACAAAAGTACATAGACACTTCTAGTAATTAGACAAATTGGCTAATTAAGCAATTGCTGGCATTCTGTAGGCATACACTCAAACCCACATGCATGCAATCTCAAGAAATAAATATTAGCAACAAAATGGGTGGTTGAACAGAAGGTCAGTGACCTTCCACTTGGCCCCGTCATAGGACACCAAACTTCCAACAAATCACTTTGCCACATTTCTGCCCCGCTAGAGCTACCCTGGTCAAGTGCAAGTAAAGTGATTGTGAAGGTCAAAATGTCAGTGAGTAAGTTCAGCTGTGAAGTGGGCGGCCACACGAGCTCACAGAATGGGACCTGATCACCCAACATCCAACCTGAATGGCAGCAAACAGAAGATCTGACGGCTTCTTCTAGTTTGGCTTGGATGTATTGGAAATGGCTGTGGTTTAGTAAATTATGGGGTTGAAGGTCAAGAGCAGGCCGTCGCTGGATGATGATCCCGGATCGGTCACTCCTATGTGACGGCATGTTGTTGAAGAGATCGGTTTATTATTATTGAAACACGAAACTGTGTGTTTGCGAAAAACGTAGACACACAGACACATGCGCTTGGTAGGAGTGAGCACCTGCTTCACGTCCTGTTAAAAATGCATGTCATGCGTGTTTGTTCTGTTTCCAATTATAGTCCCCACACGCTTGACGCCTTCACCAAATGGTCTCTCACTGTCTCAGATCTACACTCCCCCACTCAAACACACAGGCAGAATCTATGTCCACAGAGAGGGTGTAGGTTTAGTTTCGACATCAGCCCAAAACCCCCCACCCCCCTAAAAACACATGGTACTTCTACAATATTGGTTCCTACCATCCATATGCAAATATACTTTCTTGGGCTTCCATAACACTTGATACCATTTTGCAGGACACCCGTTAAATAAAAGTGCTTTATCACAGTAGAATGTAAGTTACGTTCACTTCGTAAACTAAATAACAAGAGGTGACGTGATTATAAAGATATCACTGTTAATGATTCAGATCCTCGTTGCCACTTTACGTAAAGCTGAAGGCTGTGCTGCCTATGCAGGGTGTAGGGCAGAAGGGGAGAGGGCATCACCGGCATGAGGAAACGGGAGCTGAACGGCAGCCGCACTGAAGAACAGAGGCTGCAGGGCGCAGAAGATAAGAGGCTGAGAGTGAGGCTTCCTCTTTCAGCGTGAGACCCCTGCTGCTGAAGTCTGAAGCGTGAATCACACACTCGCGCGAAGAAGCTGCGAGAAACTGTGGTCCTCTGCCTCTGTAAATAGGCAGAGCATGTTCTCCGTAGGTGGGGGTGGTATATTGATCTAAGGTGAGTATCCATTGGGAAATGTGTTATCAGCTAAACGTAAAGTTAGGCTAATGTTTTGGCCCAAAGTATGACCCTCATGAATTATTTAGCCTGGGCTTGTGCCATTTATTTTCCAGAGGGCGAAGGCTACAGTGCTACAGAACGGAAGAGAAACGGTGGTGGTGTTTATTAGGGGCCCCCTGTTGGCCACACACAGTCACTACAATAAAGATTAAATAAACATCTTCCTTATTTAGCACAGGATGGAACCGCATGTTATGCTAACCAGCTATGACCATCACACTGTGGTCGGTTTACAGGTAGCACTTAATCTAAACTGCGCACCTCTGGACTGTGGAAGAGAAAGTCAGAAACATCTGGACTGCAAGAGGCCTGAGCTGTGGGCAGGACACCAAGAAACAGCAAAAGGCGCCAATGGTGTTAAGCCAGTCAGTTTCATAGGCGCGTGCCTACCCAATATTTTGTGGAGATGTACCATATAAATTAATTATTCAGGCAACTAATGACACGGGAGGGAGCAAAAATGTGGACTGTCTGGCATGGAGCTTGGAGGGAGCAAAAACGTAGATTGTCTGTGAGTCCCCGAGGACCAGACTGGAAGACACTGACCGATGCCAGCAATCTGCTTGCTTGTGAATGAAGTGAAACTGAAAGTGGCTGAGATACTAGTCCACAAGACTGAAGGAAGGGCCACATCAAAATGCAGAACACCATAGAAATAAACACTTTCTTAGAGTTGATGAAATACCGCATGTACAAACTATTTATTTTGATGTAAAGAGTAAATGTGGTTTGCTTGGCAATTTTAGTTTCATTTTAGTCAGCGTAAAAGATTTTTTTTCAACAAGAGAAGGCAGTACACATTGGGATCCACAAGGTGGCATCACAATATTTCATACCGTGAAGGATGCAAAAGTCCAGTTATGAAATAATACAGCTTTCTTTGTAGGTTCCCTGTTTGTCAAAAAGAGGGAAACAAACAGCATTGCAGCCTAATGCCTGAGGTTAGAGAGAGTTTCAGTTGAAACCTGCAGACAGAATTGTCTCTGTGTTACACTATACATACATTTTGTAATATATGTTAATGTGTAATATCCATCCATCCATCCATTCATCTTCAAACTGATTATCCTGGTCAAGCTCACAGGCAGGGGTGAGTTTGTTGTTCCTGGGGTCCCACTCCAAACTCTCCTCCCCCGTAAGATGTTTCAGAAGCTAAATAAATAGCTAGCAAATAGAGTCAAGAGATGGTAGCTAGCTAGCTGGTTAGCAGAACATGTTGCTTCAGCATCTCCTAATTGAGGAACGGGTTTATTTAATAATTAGTGCAGTGACCTTTTTGGCCAGCAGGGGGCCCCAAACCTCAGGGGCCCCACAAAAATTAGACTTTCAAAAAAGTGGCAAACACTGATGCTGGTTGCAGGTGGGACTTGGAGCCTTAAAAGAATAACATGCAGGTGGATCATAAAATAGGACGGTTCTCCTATTTAAAACGTTCACTGAGCCGGTTATTTTGTTCATGATCCTCATATTTGAGGCCTATGGCTGTCGGTAGGATCGCGCCTTACCTGTCAAAAGTCCAAAGGCCAAGCTCCTCCCACACCCGCCCAAAGAGGAACAACGTCCATGAAATCAAACATATTTCTGTTTCGCTTCCTCTTCGTCCGTTTAAAGCCGTTCGACATTTTGCCGCCGAAACGAGGCGATCAGTCGGCCATTGTGCAGCTTCGCACTATAACCCCAGGGCCAGAACATGCTTACGCACAGTTGGAGAGATTAGGTGCCTGAACGCTGGCTCTTACAGTGCGACAGGAATTCCCCAGAAGGCCCGATAACACTGGCGAGCATTGTATTGCACTGCTATGAAGAAAACCACAAGGAGGAAGTGCAATTCAATGTTATTAAAAACACAAGTTCCCAAGCAGACACTTATTGTATAATAGACGTAACAATGTTGCATACCTTTGCTGCTCGTCACAGTCTTTCATGGGTGATAGTAAATATGACCATGTGTTTCATGGCTTTGGTTTCTGACTTAATTGCTTTTTATTTATATCCATTTTCCATCAATAAGAATTAAAAGAACAACTTAGTGTACAAATATATTTACAATAAAAAAATCACTAGAACACTGAATCATACATACAAATCCCACAAATAAAAAGTAGTTTAATCTGATGTTGTTTATGCTGTTTAAAATGTTTTGATTCAATTTATGTATAGCAAACAATAAAGAATGGTATACAGATTTCATATTTGCAGTTTCAGAAAAGGAAATTGAGCAAGTAAACTGATCAAAACCGAAAGAAAATGTGCATTTTATTTCACACAACTTAAATACCACATCCTATCTACTGTAAGGTACTAAGAAAATGCATATTCTGTAAACACAATCATCATGCTTATAAATTCCATTTTAGTCTTGAGCCTCAAAGAATTTGAGCTGTTCATAAAAACAGACAGAGCTACATTTTTCTTCTGGTACCTGAACTGAAATACATAAGGGCCCATATACTATTTATTAAACTGACGTCCCTATATCTAGATCCTACAAGTACACACTAACATTGCATATTTAGTGTCTTGAGAAATACCCAGCAAACAAAAATCGATTAGCTGCTTTAATATTAGTCTTGCAGAAATTTACTGTAGCATGACAGCAGAGGTGGACATTTCAAGTCCAGAAAGTAGAAATCCAGATCAAGATTTTGTTTCTACCAACCAGGTGCAAAAAAAGAGTCACTGTGCATTCAACTGGTTGATTGAACCAAAATCTTGGTCTGGACTTTTACTTACCATATCTGCATAATAGTACCTCACATTTACATCCTCTGACTGGATACTAGCCTACGTGCAAATTGCAACAAGCATTGCGATAGCATGCGATGCACGGCTGCATTCTGCATTTTTCCACTGGTACCAACAAATCTCAGCACTTGCACTCACTCCAGAGAAAAGCAAGTTTCATAGAAACGTAGAACTCTACTGCAGAGCAGTAAGGCTTGTGAGAGCTGAGATGATTTCCTCAAAAAAATATTTCTATTGGCCATCCCCGAGCCAATCAGCAGCTGTGTCTCCACATTCACAATGTTTGTTGCAACTAGAAGATTTATGCCACTCCCCAGTAAAAACACATTCTATTGGTCACACGTTGTTTAGAAGCTGTCCCCCTTTGGGGGCGTCGTCTTTATACCAGACCCAGAGGGGCTGCTTGTATTGGCTTCTGTCTGGGGGGAGTCAGGGTGGGGAGGGTGGGGTATCGGGGGAGGGTGGAGAGGAGTCAGGATCAGGAGATACCTCCAGACCCTCCTCCCTGAAGTCAGGTGAGGAACGGTGTTCGGGGGACTCTGGCTGCTCCAGGCGATCGGCTCTGTGCTGCAGGATTTCTTCTGGTGTTTTCAGGAACCTGTTCCAGAGAGAAGGACCGATATTATACATGTTTGAGAATATAAGTCGAAAAATTTGGTTATTCAAAAAAAAACAAAATGTCTGCCACGGAATCCTTGGTCACGGGTGTTTTCCCTAAATGCAAAGGCTTCCGATAATCATGGCGTCTTGCAGGCCGTCCACTGCCCTCTCCACCTCCTCACCTGAAGAGCAGCTTCTGTCCAGGCTCCTTCTTGATGATGTTCAGTTTGTAGTAGTGTCGAAGAGCCCTGGACATCTTCTCGTAAGTCATGTTGGCTCTGTTCTGCAAGAAGTAGGCGAAGCCTCATTTGAAACGCGTGGCATCGAGTACCTGCGAGTGCCTGCGAGTACCTGTGAGTACCTGCGAGTACCTGCGAGTACCCTCGGCCACAGGAAGAGCGTGGCCGTGTGTCACGTACACAGGAGAGCCTCACCAACCTTGTGGTTCCCCCACAGCCGGGCCAGCCCGTTGGGGTCGACCACCCGGAACACCTTGCTCTCATGGTCCTCCCAGCGAATGAAGGCCTCGTACCTCTTGTCGGAAAGCAGCTGATACACATAGTCCCACAGCAGCCGGCAATCTGGAGGAGAGAGACAACGTGACAGTCCTCAGGCCTGGGATCCGACTTACAGCTGACTGTACTCCCTCAATAACAAGTCATCAATGAGGAATTTTATTCGGTTTCTTAGGGTCAACAATTCAGCAGTCAACAGTCATGCGTTTATTGTCTTACTTCAAATATATCTATATCGATTGATTATTGTTGACCTACTTCAACACTCCCTCACGTCCCTTAGTCATGTGACTCATATGTCTTACAGTCGTTTTTAAAATATTTACATTAAATACATACTCACTCAACTGAAAGTGAAATACTTACTTACGCATTGAATATATACAGAAGGAGCGTGACATAACCGGGTTTTCAGTGCAAAAACAAATAATTACTTCCTTGTATGGAGGAAATGTTTGGTTAATCTTATTTGTAGACTGTTAAACATCACTGCGTCGACCAAAAAATGGTGGAAAATGCTGGAAGCTTAACACCCTGCTGAAAAAACCAGCATAGACCAGCATAGCTGGTTACCAGCATGGCCATCAGAATTCATGCTGGTTATACCAGCATATGTTGTGTTTTGGTGCTGGTGGACCAGCATCATTAATGAAATATTACTGGTGGACCAACTTCATGTGCAGGTAGACCTGCAAAGCCATGCTGGTCCACCAGCTACACCAGTACCAAACCAGCACTAACCAACACAGGTTTTCAGCAGGTGACATACTCGCTAAATTCGAATGGTCATCTTATCCTGCCGACTAGACCTCTAATCTAGACCTTTCCTGTCAGGAATCCAGTACCGTATGCGGTGTGGTAAATGCTCCAGCCTGTAGCATGTAAGCATACCCATGGCAGTGGGGGGGGGGCAGACAGACACTGACAGGATTCAAGGTGTTCATGTGTTTCTTTTAATGACGGCAGTCAAAAAAATGCAGATATTTTTGTCTGCTTTTCGGGTGGTTGACGCGACATATTTCCCGACGCGCGCTCTCTGTCCGCTGGTGGGAGTGTGCTCCTCTGTGTGTGTGCGCACGTGTCCGTGCGCGTGCATCGGGGCGGAACTCCGCCATGCGCGATACAGAGAGCTGAGTAGAATTGTAAACGTGCGACCGTGCAGAGACAAAAATGACAAGCTGTTGTGTAAATAAGATAAATAACATAAGGCTATTTAGTTTGTTTAATAAAAGGACAACGTATAGACCTGTTCTATAGGAAAGGTAACCTTAAATGACCACTTTTGTGATCTAGCGCTATATAGAAAATAAAATTAAACAAAATTAACTTGACCTTCAAGGGTGGGCAGGAGGTGCCGCTGGGGGGGCGGGGCACCCCCCTAATATAATGGTAGGGGAAACACTGCATGGGTTTACACTAACTGGGACCTCGGTCAGATGATCTGTACCAGGTTAAACCATCCCTGCCTCCCATAATTTCTTAAGCAAAGCAGATCACTCTGAGATCCCAGTGTGCTGCTCCAGTATGTGCTGGTATCACTTTTATATAAATGTAACATTTTAGCACTTTTTAGCCACCGACTTTGTTCCCACCAAAAGCGGGTCACTGGACAGAAAGGTACCTGCAATCTTGCCAGTGGCCTCTGAGGTTTTGCTGGCGTCCAATAGGCTGGCTCTCTCCACCCTGCTGGACAGGTTCAGCGGCTCTTCCCTGCAGGTCTGGGGGGCCGGGTGGGTCTGCGTGTCCGGCACTGGCTGCTGCACGCTGCGGGGTCGCACGTCTGTGGGGCGCAGAGTGGCATTAGGGAAATATGCACAGTGCCAGTCTGCGCCAATGATGCAAATGAGGTTAACCCTTCCCTTACCAGTCCCAACCCGCCATGGAATTTACATGGGGGGGATGGGTGGTCATCAAATATGGTTTCAGACTGAAAGTGGTCCCACCCAAAGCAGGGCTGGAGCGGAATCAGGACTGACCCGGGGGCATTTGCTGCATGGATTGAGGTGACGAGGCCTGGTACGGGTTTGCCCGCAGGAGGGTCACAGCGAGGCCAGGAAGCTGGGCACTGCCTTGGTATCCGGGGATCCGGCCGCCGGGAAAGCTGGCGTTCACTGGTGGCCAAAAACATCTTCGATCAACACACAGCGCCGGTACACACATATTCTCCCTGCTGCCATTGTTTTTTTGCCATGATTGTGGCTACAGTTTAACATTGTTTGCATTTCGATTGATGTTCTAGATAAATATTTCATTATAATTGGCAAAAACCAGGAACTTGTCACCGAAAATATTTACCATGTGACTTCTATGTGTTCATGGATAAGGAAACTGAGCAAATAGCAGTATGCAGCCACAACATATAAACACTGAAACCTTAAAACGGAGCTCTGCTCCACTTCGAAGTCAAAGTCAAGTCAAGTCAAAGTATCATAATTGTCATCTTCAGCAATATAATCCATGAGTCAGACACTGAAATAAAATTTCATTCTCGATGGTTGTATTGCGAGAAACAGTAATAAAAAGTATATAAATATGCAATACGTTTACGCTTGGCATATTGAGATAATTGATGGCATAATTAATCCCCCTACTGTTCTAGGTACACCCTCCTTAAGAGGGTTGTTCACAAGGCAGCAGAATCTGCAGGAGACATTTTACATTTGCATTTACCTAGCAGACACTTTCATGTAAAGCAGCGTAGAACTGAGAATGTGGGGGGGCATTGGCTGTGGACACGCCCTCTGCCAGGAACAGGCAAACTGGCTCCAACCAGACCAGCTTCTGTGCCAAAACACAGCAGGCACGCCCACGGGCACCCGGCAGATCGTGCTCAAACCTGTGCGCGCCCGTCTGCGAGTGTTTGTGCGGGGGTCTGCCACAGTATTGTGTATCTCTCTGACATATCGTCCACTGGTACAATCAAAATCCTTTATTTTAGGGAAGTACACCTTCACTCCGAGAACAACGAGGAAACAAAGGTCTCCATGGCCCTGCCCACATTTCTGTCCTGACACCGTACCAGGAAGCTTGAGGAGTCAGACAGTTTTTAAAGTGGGCGTGTGTGTGGAAATTACACTGACTCTTCCTGTTCTGATAGTTGCAGCCACTACAAACAAGTGTCAAACTATCGAATCTGCAAAAACACCTGCGTCGGCTCAAAGACTCTCAAAATGATACATTTCTGGTTTTGTTTTTGCATCATATGTAAATGTCAAATCATGCCAAAGGATCATGCGGTAGGTAGTTAATCCAGCGATAATGATCCCGGGTCATTTTTTACTTTTTGTAAATGTCCTATATTAAAAGTGCAAAGACTGCGCTCTGCTATTTTTAAGGTGGACCATAAAGTTACAGTAGAAAATTCTTATGCTGATGTTTATCCTACATGCTGCTCTTAAAGTCAGAATAATAGTGCTGAACCTTATAAAAACCCAGAAGCATATCAGCAGCCTTTTGCCATCGGTTCTGTACAGACTCCAAAAACCAGTCCTTAAACCAAGCCTGGGATGGTGACTCTCCAAGCTCTGCTGTCATGCTTCCTCAAGGACGTAACAGAGTTGGTACTCACTCATTTCCCCATTGGCCTCCCGCTGTACTGGCTGTGGGCCATTATGCCTGATGAGGGCTTTAGGTAAGGAGCTGCAGACCATCATCCTCCTCTGCTGCTTCACATGCTGTAGGAGCTCATAGAGCACGTCCCCTGGAGCAAGAATAACCACACTGCATCACAACGGGATGTAATCACCGTACACTGCATGATCCTGGGATATAACCGCCTCACACTGCATCATACTGGGATATAACTGCCTTACACTGCATCATGTTGGGATACAGCTGTCTTACCGTATATGGCAGCTGACAAGCTGAAGCCTAAACATAGGAGGACAGTGTGGTTCTGTCACAAAAAAAGGACAGAGGGAGGGGACAGTGTGGTTCTGCCACAAAAAAGGACAGAGGGAGGGGACAGTGTGGTTATGTCACAAAAAAGGACAGAGGGAGGGGACAGTGTGGTTATGTCACAAAAAA